CTGAAAGTCTAGTCTAAGCAATCGTAATTGGTATTGTTTAAACTATTCGAAATACACAATACATTTGGATAAAGTTCTTCCAAATTCTTTTCTAAAATGAATTCCAAGTTCTTTATAATAGTATAATTATCTTCTAAAAGATATCTTAAAATAGAAAGTTCTTTTTTGAATTCCTCTTTTTCGACATCATTGCCTAAATGTTTGATCAGGCTTGAACAATCAGTATTGAATTCATTTGTATTCATAGTTTTTAGCTTTTTATTTTCGAAAAGAAAACCAAAAATTTTATTTAAAAATTATACGATTCAAATCGTTCTTGCAATGAATCTTTTACTTTATCGATTAGCTTATTAAAATAAACTTATCTTCAGCCGTTTCAGTTAGATGGTTATACTCATCATCAATTTCAGAAACAAGATCACGTGTATCAATATCATCAAAGCATTCAATTGGATCAATAATCGACTATTGGATCAATCATCGTCTATTGGTTCAATTTCTTCATTCGGTATATCAATATCGTAGTATTTCTAATTTGCTTTATTTTTATGGTCTGTATAATAACATTTGTCTGCCAATCTCTTGAGATTACTTACTCTCCGTTTTGACTAAACAAGGTTCTGGTGATTTATCAAGACAATCTTTGTTTCTACTTAATATTTGAGTGTCCCAAGAGGACCGTTTAGTGAACTGTGCTATAACATCTACCGATTCTTGTGCTTCTTTTATAATCTGTTCAAAATTGTTTATGAAATCATCAAGAGATAATAGCATAACCTTTGTATGTTGTAATGCAATATTAATTGCCATAATTTTTCGCTGAAGCAATTGGCTGAAAATGTGAAGCTTTGAAAACAAGTAAAACCAAATTATTGAGAGCACAACAAATTCATAAGTTTTTATTTGTTTTATTAAAAATGCAGCATGAGTTTTACAGACTGGATGGCTATTTTTAAGTTTATCTAGCGCAAAACTAATTTCTATTATCTGGTATTTCATGGCTTTTATACTTTTAAAGCAATATTTCCATTGAGTATTGCTTGACGCCTTCAGATTAATTTTTGAATATTTTACTTAAATAGCCTATCGCTTTGTTGATGCAGCAAAAATTTTATATAAATTATTTAATGTAGTTAGATAATTCTGACGTTTAATAATGTTTTTAACACTATCATTTATAACTAAATTGATGTTATGTCCACCATACGGCTTTGTTGTTGACTTCTAAAATTCGACTTTTCACTTTCTTATATTCTCCTTTCATAATGCTTGCGTGGTCATACGACTGACCTCGGTAATCAGCAATCTTGATTCCTAATATTTCTAATTCCTCAATACGAAGTTTTCTAAATTTTCTCCCGTTGATGACATTATATTTACAAAGTTTAGAAAACTGTCTTGAACACTTTGCTTTTGGTCCGCTACAATAACTTACCGAATAATGATGGACAACTGGTCTTTTTTGAGAAAATCTGGTGTAGAATCTATCATTACGGAAAAGTATTTTGATGATTCAATATTACTCAATTTTTTTATGTAAAACTCTAGAAGCTAGAAGATAATTTCGATTTGATTTTTTACAGAAAAATATAATGTAACTCTTTTTTCTGTAATAGTGATTGATTTTAAATGCATTTTGGGTTCTGGAACAAAACCAGCAAGTAATTCAAATACTCCTAAAAAATTACTAATATTTGGTTTAAAGAGTTTTTCGTTGGTGCCCCTAAAAGCTAAATTTCATTCACTTAAAAACAATACCACTTTTACAATATATTTTAAAATTATTCGCCATCTGCATTTTTTTTAATTGAACACATCTTCATTGAGATGATCTATTCCTGTTGTGTGTTTAATGTTAAATTGTAGAGATCGCCATTTATACGCTAATTCAAGATGTTTCTTTAAAGATTCATGTTCAGATAACCGTATTCCTGTATGGGCATAATTAAAAAATCCACTTGAAGTTAAGCATATTTTTCTCAATCAAAACAACAACAAAAGCAGAAACTTTTTCATGTCGAGTTAGAATATAAAAACCAATTCTTTTTTACCATTTTTTATTTGTCGGTAAAAAAAAGTGTCACTGAAACAACTTCCTTGAGAATTTCTTTTATAATGGATATCTTTAATACTTTTTGGTGGTTGCTGTACCAAAAACATTCGTTGTTTGTTGCCGATTTCAACATTTATCTAATGATCCAGTAAGGCTATTTAATTCTGCTACTTTCCGGATCTATTTCGCTTTTTTTTTGTGCCCCGCTTTCATAACATCTTTTTAACATTTGGGGTAATTAAATGCTGTATGTAAATTTAAATTAAACGACAAGTGAGTTTAAAAATGTTAACAAAACTGTTTAAAAATAAATAAAAACTAACAATTTGAAACAATAAAACAACAGAACTATTAGGTATATTTAAAATATATTTGAAAAATATTTTTTTTTTAATTCAGTCGTTATAAAATGAATCTAATTTTTTTTTTCCATTTGATTGATTTTTAGATTAAAATCTTTCCGAAGGGGAATTTTGAGCAAAATTTCATTTTCATTTGAATGGAGTTTCATTCGATTGCGCGTGCAAAATTAGGAAATATTTCTCGAATTCTTAATAAAATAAATTTTATTTTTTAAAGTAACTTAGTACTAAAGATTCCCAAGATTAGGCTTCTAGTGCTAGTTTTTTTATAAGTTTCATATTAGAAAAACGCGTTTTTAATATTTGGAGTCCCTTAAATATCGGGGTCCAGTACGGTTGTACTTGTTGCACTTGCGAAAGTACGGCTCTGATGCTTATAAAAAAAAAAAACACAAGTCATTTGAAGAATTTTCATCTAATTTAAGCATATGGCATAGATCTTCGAATATGTATAGCAATTAGAGCGCGATGATTATTTGATAAACAAGTTTTTTAAAGATTATTCGATAAACAGTTACGAATATTCATTCGTTTTCATTTTATTCGTTGAACGATTACTGAACGAATAATAATTGTTCAAAATATAAATGCTTTACGAATATTCGTTAAGCAAATATATTCGTTCCCGTTTTTTCGTTGTACGAATAAAATAATCATTCAGCAAATAAGCAGTTGCGAATATATTCTTTAAAAAAAGAAGACGTTTAATTTAGTTAGGATATTGGTTACTAGCTTAGATATATCTACAACATTTTTCAGATTTTGTTATGCCACATCGCCGAAGTCGGTGTTTAATAAAGTTTTTTATATATTTTTGGAATTTTTTCGTTATCCTGTAATCTATCTACAGGCCACCTGATCTATCTACAGGCCACCTGATCTATCTACAGGCCACCTGATGGTAATATTATCAACTTTTCATAATAATTGAAACAAAGTTTTAATGAAAAATAACAATGAAAAAAGTAAATTATTTTGTATGAGAAAGTATATTTTTTGTACATATTTTCTCATTTTTTATTGTTATCTTCTTCAAACATCGGCCAGGTGATATTTTCCATCTCCTTCAAGTTTTCTTTCATGAAAACCATCATTTCAATATTGTCAATGCTAAGGCTATTTTTTCTTTACAATATAACAATTCCAGTAGCTGAAAATACTCGTTCCGAGGGAGCTGATGATGCAGGGATGCACAAGATCTTTCTTGTTGTCTGCTGAGATTAGGAAACCTTGTACGGTTGGTCTTCCAATATTTAATAATATCTGCGTTGTCGTTTGCAACTCCTTCATCAACATAACGTACTATCTCGCATTTGGCTTATGCAAAATGCGAGATAGTATGTTATGTTGATGAAGGTTAACTTATGTTGATGAAGTTAACTTATGTTAACGGACGATTTTTATCAGTGTTTTTATTATCATTTTCAGATGATTGTTTTAAGTTTTTAATGCATGTTGGACTTTCCCCAACATCTCTTCGGCCCATATTAATCATAGCTTGAGTAGCGGTATCCTTGATGTTTTCGTATCTTTGCTCATCAAGTGCAAAAATAATTGATCCCTTTTGTCTTGGATCAAAAATATGTGCTATTGAATACTCAGGTACTTTATGACCACAATCAGGAAAACGTTTTTGGATTCGTGCTATGAGAGCTTGAGTTATATTTGTGACACATGTGAGAGAACTTTGTTTTCCAATTTTAGCTAATTTTTTCTTAAGATTATAGATTTTCAATATCACCAAGTTGATTGTTGAGTCTTTGTCAGAGCTTAAAACTTGTAAAATTTTATCGATTGGATCAAGACATTCAATTATACCTTTAATGATATTAGCTTCTACAACAATCGGCACCCAACCTTCAATTTTAGTGAACATTTCTTTCATAATAGCCAAGCACCCTTTTAGATCCATAATGGATTTAAACTGTCTCAAATCAGAATTCCAACGAGCTGGTACTTTCTGGATAAGTTTAGTTCATTGTTGCTTATGCTCATTAGCAATTTTCCTCAAAATACTCGAAGCCTTAAAAGAATGACTGAAGTGCCCAACTAATTTGTTTGGCTTTATTGAAAATTCTAAACACTAAGAAACTAGCTAGAGCTTGCGTGACAATTAAATGTATCTGACGATCAGCGCACCAAAGATTGTTGTTGATAACTCTGCTGATGCGCATAATTTGCATAACATTTGAACTTTTATCAGTTGTCGCCCATGTATATGTTTTATTCTCCAAATTCAAGCGTTTTATTAGGTAATCTAGTTTTTCTACGATATTTTCGGCATTATATGCATCAGGAAATGGATCAAGTTTAACAAGAAGTTGATTAAGCTGAAAATGTTTTGTAATAAAATGTAGAGTGAGCGATTGGAAAGCAAGGTCTAGATATCAATAGTAAAGGCACAACCGTCAAGGTGAATCTTCTCATTGTCAATAATTTTGTTTATGAATTTATATAATTTAGGAATTCTATCCTGAAAAAGTGATTTTGATAAAACAGGGTTATACTTCCCTTTCGTTGCTTGCTTCATTATTTCATGAAAATATTTGCTATCCACTATCCTAAAGGTAATTGTTCTTGGACAATCCACTTAGTCAATGGTGTAACTATATTTACATTTTCAAAATGGTCTTTGGGCCATGGAATAACAGCACCGGAAGTTTGAGAGGCTTTAGTAGTCCTCGATTTACCAGATGATGTTAAAAATTAAGGGTATGACTCAGGAGTGGCAACAAGACGAGCTCGTTTGGGTGTACTGATGAAATCGGTTTCTGAAGAGTCGTCATCGTCAATAACTCGAGACTTTTTTCGCAATTTGTGGAGCATAATTGATTTTCTCATATTCCGAAAAAATATGGCAGTGATGCCCTTTTAGATGATTAATAAGACCTGAAGTACCGGCTTGAAGTTATCGAATTTAGCAACAAGTTCCTTTTCGCACACATTACACTTTGCATAAGTCAGAGCCAGCGCTAGGCACTAGGCAGACTAGGCAGCTGCCTATAAAATATAAAAAATCTAACTAAAATTATAATTTTATAATAATTATAAAAATTATATATAACGATGAGAAATTTTCCATTTCCAGTATTTTGAGCATAAACTGCAAGACAAATTAGCGTATCATTTGCAGGCTTTAGGCAAAGGCAACATGTAGTGTTGTAATGTTATTAAATAGTGACTCCTGCTTCTTGTCTCTCGTCTGTGTTTATATTAATAAAATGAGAGATAATTAACAACTTGAGTTGCGTTTTCCAAATAAAGTAAATATTTTCTTTTTAAATTATAAACACAACAAACAAAATTGTATATTATCCGTTCGCTGTTCCTCATGTTCATTCGATCGACCACATATTCAATCAGTTATTTCACATTCATTCGCTTGCGTTTGGTTAACGAGTACTAGATACTTCTTCTGTCTGTCTCTGATTCTTTGAATAAATGTCAATTTAATTTTTTCCCTCCGCAAGCCGCTGATAGCGGCTTTTGATTTTTTTTTTATTATGACTGCAAGCCGCTGGTAGCGGCTTTCGAGTATGCTTCACAATTTATCCTGTTTTGTGCATAAATCTAGACACATAATTTGTTTTTTCTTAAAGTTTAATTAGTTCTTTGCATAATCAAGTACAAGTATGAGCCATAATGTGTAACTATAATTAGTTATCACTTGACAAAGTTAAAAAATCTCAAGTAATCCTTGATAAAAAAAATTTCTTCAAATTTAGTTCGTAATTAGTAAAATAAAGCAGCGTTAACACTGTAAAATTTAACTTGTAGAAGCGTGCGAGTATTTAGCTAAGTAATTTCAAAGGTTTTTTTTCAAATAAAACGTTCTTTTTATACATTAAATAAGTTTTATTTCGGACTTTATGTTTTATTTATTTATTTATTATTATTTTTTTTTGTTACTATTTATAAAAACGATGGTTTAAGTACCTTGCATTTCTTACTGTTCAACGATGCGTGTTAAAAACTTATTTAATTGAAAAGTTCATTTGTTTATCTTTTAATTAATATATAGTTTGTAACAAACTATATATTAATTGAACAAAGATAACAAATTGATACACTTTTAAAAAGATATACTATTCGAATTTCAATTAGTTTTTTTATGTTAATTCATCCAAATTTTATTCAAAAAAACGTGCGGCCACAGCGAAAAGATTTTTGTTAAAACGGCGGCAGCGAAAGAGTTAAGTGTTGACTATTATATTTTATTTATAATAAGTATTAAACTGAAAATATTCTTATCGATTAAAAAGGTAGTGTATTACTTCAATTCTACTATTGTACGCTAGCAAGTAATAAGTAAATATTTTATAATTACACATTTCTTACGTTTTTTAACCATGTCTGAGAAAAAGAGACTATCAGTAAAGAAAAATAAAGAAAGTCAAAGAAAAGCTATTTTGAAATATTTTCGTACAGAAACACATTCTACAGGTACTGATTCTGCTACTGAAAGCGATAGCGGTGTGAGTAAAAAATCTAAAGTGATAGTTGACGATAAAACTGTTAATAATGCTAATATTTCAAATCAACAAAATGAAGTTGTAAATATCAATGAAAACCAAATTTATCTACCTGAAGCAACTCCTGCTGTTAATATTTCAAGACAAATTGAAACTGAAACTCAAATTAGAATATTATCATCTGCAGACTACAGTGACCCTGCAAATTGGCCTACTCATTTTAGTGACAATTTTCGGCAATTTGTTATAAAAAATAGACCGCAACAAATTGAAAAATATAACTTTCCACGAGATCAAGATGAACAAAAAAGAAAATTTTCATCAATCTATTACAAGCGGACATTACCAAATGGAGAAAAAGTCTCTCGTTCTTGGCTTATATATTCAGTTTCAAAAAATGTAGCTTTTTGTTTATGTTGTAAATTATTTGGTAAAAGCAAAAGTAGTTTGCCGGCTTTAGAAGGTTCAGGTTTAAACGATTGGAAGAATATTGGAGCACTTTTTTCTTCTCATGAAAAAAGCAATTCACATCTCGTAAATTTTCAAATGTGGAAAGAACTTGATATACGTTTATCTACAGAAAAAACCATAGATCATATTAACCAACAAAAGATTAATGAAAAAGAACAATATTGGCAACAAATTTTAGAATGATTAATTGCCTTAGTCAGAGTACTGGCTACGCAAAACTTGGCATTTCGTGGAACAAATGAAAAGCTTTACAATAACGCCAATGGTAATTTTTTAAATTTTGTTGAGTATCTCGCTTTATTTGACCCATTAATGAATGAACATGTGCGGAAAATTAAAAATCAAGAAATTAAAACTGCTCATTATCTTGGAAAAGAAATTCAAAACGAATTAATACAAATACTAAATAAAAAAATATAAAAATATAAAAAATATAAAATTATATAAAAAGATAATATCTGGACTAGAGTAAAATTTGCTAAATTTATAATTCTATAATTTTAGACTGCATCCCAGATAATTTTAGACTGCATCCCAGATAATTTTAGACTGCATCCCAGATAATTTTAGACTGCATCCCAGATAATTTTAGACTGCATCCCAGATAATTTTAGACTGCATCCCAGATAATTTTAGACTGCATCCCAGATAATTTTAGACTGCATCCCAGATAATTTTAGACTGTCAATAATCAAGTACAAGTATGAGCCATAATGTGTAACTATAATTAGTTATCACTTGACAAAGTTAAAAAATCTCAAGTAATCCTTGATAAAAAAAGTTTCTTTAAATTTAGTTCGTAATTAGTAAAATAAAGCAGCGTTAACACTGTAAAATTTAACTTGTAGAAGCGTGTGAGTATTTAGCTAAGTAATTACAAAGGTTTTTTTTCAAGAAAAACGTTCTTTTTATACATTAAATAAGTTTTATTTCGGACTTTATGTTTTATATTTATTAAGTTATTTTTCGGGATCACCTTCTCGTTGGCAAGTTTTTCGTAGCTATTTTCCAGATTTTACTGTCAAGTCATTAAATGATACAAGATGGGAAAGCCGCATTAATGCTTTAAAACCATTACGATACAATCTCGGAAAAATTTACGATGCTTTAATGCAAATATTTGAGGATCCAAGATTACAAACTACATCAGTAGGAAATTCTTCCCGAAATGAGGCTCAAGGGCTAGCAAATTCTATTTGCATATTCAAGTTCATGGTGCCCTTTATTCATGGTACGACATTCTTTTTGAAGTTAATATTTCTAATATAATATTACAAAATAAGAAAGTTGATTTGAATGTAGCTACACAACAATTAAATATTACTAAAAACAAACTTGTAAAAATGAGAAATGATGAAGGCTTTCAAAGAATTATTGTTGATGCTGCTGAAATTGCAAAAGAATTGGAAACAGTAACAAATTTTGAAGAAAAACATGTCGGGAGAAGGAGAAAAAAGCGACAGTTCGATTATGAAACACAAGATGAAGCGTTGCAAGATCCAAAAGAAAAATTTAAAGTTGAATTTTATTTTAAAATTTTAGACACTGCTATACAGTCTATTGCGGAAAGGTTTGAACAAATGCGACAGTATAATAGTATGTTTGGCTTCCTTCATGATATTTATTCTATAAGTTCAAAATCTTCAACAGAATTATTGAAAAATTGTAGAAATCTAGAAGAAATTTTAACTCATGGTTCTCAAAAAGATATTAGTGCAGCGGATTTTTGTAATGAAATCAAAGTACTTTTTGGAAGACTCCCGCAACAAATGACACCACATGAAGTACTAACTTTTATAGTTGAACAACGTTTAATTGACTGTCTACCAAATATATGTATTTCTTTAAGAATACTATTAACACTTCCAGTGTCCGTTGCAAGTGGCGAGCGAAGTTTTTCGAAGTTAAAAATAATTAAAAATTATTTGAGGTCGACAATGTTACAAGAACCACTGGTGGGATTATCAATAACTTCGATAGAACACGAAGAAACATCAATATTAAATTTGAAAGAAATTGTAAAAGCATTTGCAACAAAAAAAGCCAGAAAAATAAAAATTTAAATATGCTTTTATTTTTATTATTACATATTTTCAAAATACAAATGAACTTTCTAGTTTCTGAAATTCAAATTCTCTAATAATTTAAACATCAAATCAGAAACAAGTTTTTTTATTCTTTGTAACTATATTGTATTCCAAGTTTTCAATTTTTACTCTTAATTCTAGATTATTACTTATTATTATTTCTTGAGATAAGCTAGGTTAATTATTATTATTTTAGTGCGAATAAATATTAGGAATAGTCTTCATTAATTCTATAAAATGATACTTTTATTCTTTGAATGTCATAAAATCTCAAACATTTTTATTCTTGTAAATAAAAGTTGAGTGGCTGAAATCCTAAAATGTCAAAAATAAATATTTAATACTTAAATATGTCCACCATTTTATAATGTTTATGCCATTTTAAATAAAATTAATATTTATGTTTTTGCTCTTTCAAATTAAAATATTTTTTTTCGGAGGGGGGGGGGGGTTGAATTTTTTTTGCCTAGGACGCCAAACACCCTAGCGCCGGCTCTGGCATGAGTAGTACCAGTCATTTCAAAGAAATTCCAAATGCAAGATTTTCTGGGCATTTTATGAAAAAAGGCAGCTTGTACCTGAAGAAAAATATTCAAATGTTTAATCTAAGTTAACTTTTAATTGATATTCCTTTAGAATATCACTATATTTTACTTTAGAATATCAATATATTAGAATATTCCTTTAGAATATCACTAGTATAAAGAGATAAAGTTAATTTAGATAGAAATACCTGTGCCGAAAATCAGCACGGGTAATAGCTAATATTTAACAAACATTATCATATTGTTTCATATATATAATAAGTAAAGTAATAAATTATATTAATAATTATACCAAAAAACAAAACAATTAAAAAGCCTGAAATGATATTTTTGTTCAGAATTGCCCCGTTTTCTACAACTAAATTTGATTTATTTAAGTGCAAAAATTGCGTAAAAAAAAATTTACATGTAAAGTTATCTTGCTGATGATCAATTTAATTTAAATATTTTGTTAATATAATAAATAATAAGCAAGAAAATATTACTTATTAATTACAAACTATTAAGTAATGTTTTCTTACTTATTACATTAAGTAAAAGTGATAATAATAAACTGTTATAATTACAACAAATTGTGATTAAATTCGTATTTTAAAGATAAATAACGATAAATAACGATAAATGATTTAACAATTACACTATAATATTACGAAAAGTACCAGTGAAAAAAAGCGGAAAATTATTTTAACCTTTTTTAAACTTTGTCATAAAACTTATGTTTTTAAATCATAAATGAAGTTTAATTAAAATTTTAATAAAATGAGGTTTAGCTTTTTAAATTGATAATCATCATTCGCGTCTTTTTAAAAAATTTTAAAATTTTAAAGACATTTCATCATTTAAGATATAAAAGAATCTTTTATATCTTAAATGATGAAATGTCTTAAAAAATATTTAAAAGACGCGAATGATCGCCTTCTTTTTATTTGCCATTTTTTTAGCACTTGTACTTTTATTTTTAAACTTGTATTTTTTAAATCTAAATGTATTTTTCTGCTGAACATCTCCACCAGCCTATGTCGGTGGCGGTTTCGTAAATGAATCGTGACTTGCAGGTTGTATGGTATACGTGAATCCGTATAAGTCGCAATATTGATATGTTTGTTTAACATTTTCAAATATTAAAAATTAAAATTTAATAATATATTTGTAAAATACAAATTTTAGTTATTTTATATTCGTTTAAAAATTATATTCGTTTAACAAATAAAATTCGCTTAGCAAATAATATTCTATAAACAAATAATGTTCGTCGAACAAATATTAATTCGTTTAATGAATAAAAGCAAATCAATAAATATTCGTTCCCGTTTATTAGTTCGACGAACATATATTTGTTAAACAGTTATTATTTATTAAACGAGTATAGGTTTACGAATATATTTGTATCCTACGAATAATTTAAACGATTAGTTTTTACGAATATTCTTTAACGAATAATTTAACCGAGTATTATTTAACGATTATTCGTATATGATAAACGAATAACCGTCGCGCTCTAATGATAACATAAAATGTAGCAATAATAACACAATTATAATTAAATATAATATAGATAAATAATAAATAAAGCAAAAATTAATCCACTAGTTCGTTAAAGGAATTATTTAATAAAGACAACTTCAGCACAGAGAGAAATTATAAAGATATGCGTTAATGAAAAACTTACCATGTTTAATTGTGTTGAAAAAAGTATAGCTTACTATTTTCTGTATTCCTGGGGTCAATGTTATAAAACTTTTTATCGGCGTAAAATGCTAGCGGCTGTAAATTTTATCGGCGTAAATATTTTAAAAATTACCGTCGATACTTCTTTTTATCTAATTTTTTTCTTTTCTACACCCGAAACGTTTACAGTCGATAAATGTTCCGGAGGAGCGACCTACGGAAATTTTTGCTAATATTTAGTTGTAGAAACCTGTGGTTTAGAACTTTTCAAAGTACTTACCTTGAGTTGAAAACTTGTTACAAATTCATTCATATTAATTAAGTGCACATTTCTTGGTAAATTTTAATTTCAAGCGATTTCTTTGTTAATATTTTTTATTGAATTTGTCATGTAAGAAATGTAAGTCATTCTCAAAATTTAAAACTGCTCTCATTAACTACTTTTTAGAAAAACATTGCTTATAAATTTTGTACTTTCAACTTATTATTTATAACCCAAATTCTGAGCTTCTTTTTATCTAATTTTTTTCTTTTCTGTTGTGATTTAATATTTTTTGTTAAACTTTTTGCAAAAAATATTAAAACACAACAGAAAATAGAAAAAAAAGTAGACAAATACTATTTATCTATTTTAAATAGAAGCTCAGAGTTGGGTTCATAAATGATAAGTTGAATTTATTATTATTGAATAATACTTCAATAATAATAAAATAATGCTAATAATATTAACATCATTTTATTAGTATTGAATTTTACAGGTCTTTATTTCATATTACTACTTATTACTATTTGTAAATAACCTTGATGTGTCAACTTTATTCAGAATATATTTTACTTGGTTTATTTTGATCACTGAAAATTGAAAGATAATGAAAATTTATATATATATATATATATATATATATATATATATATATATATATATATATATATATATATATATATATATATATATATATATATATATTTCTTTCTCTCTTTCTTTCTTTCTCTTTCTCTCTCTCATATATAAGAAAGAAAGAGAAATATATATAGAGAGAGTGCTCAGTGTTCTTAAAGAACAGAGCAATAATAAATTAGTAAAAACACTTATCTAATTTTTATCTTCAAGAGCTTGTTTCTCCATCAGCAGGTTTATCAGGAAGTCTGATCAACTATTGAACCTACTGATAAACCTTCCTCATGAATCTACTGACGGAGAAACACGTTGTTGAAGAATAAAACTAGATAAGTATATATATATATATATATATATATATATATATATAATATATATATATATATATATATATATATATATATATATATATATATATATATGTATATAAGTTTTCATGAAAGTTGATAAATAAATTTAACTTTTTAGATTAACTTTACAAATTTTCATTTAGACATTGCAGTCTGAAAGAAAACCACCAGGAATTTAAAGTTTATTATTGAGCTAATTAGAAAAATGCACTTATGCTAGATTTATTAGGACTATTTATTGATCCAAAAATCAGATCAACTTAAGTTTTAAAAAGAAATTTCTCCATTTAAAATTTATGCAGAGGTTATTTGAGATTCGAATTAGTAAAAATGTGGTCAAACTATAAACAGAATTATTAAAGTTCTAGAAATTACCATTCATGCTCGAATATGGTATGAGTTCAAATAATTTTGATAAAGTCAGATAACAAAATACATCAAAGATTTTTCCTCTTATTCAGAAAGTGTTTAGAGATCGTGTACAACTTTATTTACAACTTGTTTCCAAAGTTTCTCATATGGTCTATGGTATGGAAGCACGTCAAAAATTATTATGGAAAAAATTCTAATCAGAAAGCATCAAAAGAGTTTTCTGTTTAAATGTTTATTTGTGACTAAATAAGTTTTTGTTATAAGAATTTGAGTTTGTGAATAATTCTTTTAACTATTTTATATTAAAAGTCATATTTAAAAAAAGTTTATTTATGCAGTTTTTCATATTTTTTATTTATGCAGATTTTCTATGTGTATAGATTGTATAATATGTGTTTCTATTTTTATATATTGTATAATATAAAATGTGTATAGATTGTATAATATAAAATGTGTATAGATTTTCTATATTTATATCAACACAATTTTACAAAATAAAGAATGATTAATTACCTAATTAATTACGTAAAAAAAAAGAATAAAAACTTTTAATTCTTTAGTTTTATGTATTTTATTATGAAGACCAAGGCCAAATAATCAAGGTGAAGGCCAAGGTTAAAAATTAATAACAGTTCCATTTTTTCACTTTTAAATTGTATATTTAACATTTTAAATACTCTTTGAACAGTTTTACTTCTCGTGGTTGTCTCTGGTTTGCCAAGTATTCTAAAGCAACAAAATATTCTTCATCAGAATCGGAACAGTCTAAGTCCAAATCCATAAGAAACTGTTAATTTTTGTTAACTTTTATGTTTTCAACTCAAAAACATTTTGTTTTTGACAACCTTTTATGTTATTGATTCGGACAGTAGATTTCCGAAAATAAATTCAGAGCATAGATATCTGCAAAATTTTACGCCGGTAAAAGTTTTATAACATTGAGTGAAAAAACATTTTACTTCTCTATAAAAATTCTAGAGCAAAAATTCCGCCGGTAACATTTTACGCCGATAAAAAGTTTTATAACATCGACCCCTGGTGTGATGATCGTGAATTTCATTTGTTTTAATAAAAAAATGTAAAAAAGGATTTGGTAGTTTATTTTGCAAATATTGTTGAGTTCGAGTTCAAATTTGAAGTTTAGTTTTGCCTACGTATCTCTTTGAGCATTTGTATTTATTTAAATATGTTTCGGGTTGACTATTTGGCAATTTATTTTTGTTTTTTGACATTAGTAATTTTCTTAATTTTGGATTTGATTTGAAGACTACTCTATTATCACCTTTCTAAAATATTTTCCTTAGTTTCGGGATAGTAATGATGTCCACGGTAACGATAGAGTAGGGAGTATTGAATATTGTTGATTTTTAGGGACCGTTTATTTCCAATTAAGTTGGCTTATGCTATACCCATTTTCGTTAAATATATGGATAAAGAAATTAATATCATGTAAATATAAGTTACTGCATATAGAATAAGCCCTGTGAACATAACCTTTGCGTAAAATATTGCGTTGGCGGTGGCAGGATTTGAACTTGTATCTTACATCAGTCCGGAATTTCAACTTTTTGTTTGATGTTCTAACCAACTTAGCAATCCAGCCACAATTTTGTTTACACAGTTGTTGTTTATTATGGTTAAATCGAGGAAGTTTAGAGTTCTACTTTTGCTTTTAGTTTCGATCATATATTGTACCGCAGGGTGTTGTTTGTTTAAGGTAATTAAAAATTGTTCTGTTTCTTGAGTGATGGAAAATCTAGCGTGGCTATCGTCGACATATCTTAAATAGGATTTTAGGTCAAGAAGAAGATTTACTGCCATTGCAATTTTAAAAGCGTCTTGTTTATGATGTTGTAAAAATGATTCTGCAAGTACGACCATGAATGAAAGACCTATAGGACCAGAATTCTCAAGTTCATGGATTTCGTTGTTCCACAGATAATAACAACGGTGTAAACAAAACTCTCTTTAGTGGTATTGATGGATACAAGTTTACAACATCAAATGAAACTTGAACCTCGTTTTTTTCAATCTCCCATGAATTTGCTTTACTAATAAAACCAAAAGAATTTTTCAGACGTGTTTGATTTTTTTTTAAGACAAGTTGCATTTTCTTCATTAAGTAAAGTATCTTGCTTGTTGAGAGACCCTCCAATTATAGAAGGACGTATAAAATGGTAACCCCATTTGACGTAGTAGATAGCCTTTATTGGTGCAAGGCCTATAAATTGATTATTTACTGTTACCTTGCACAGCCTCAGAATTTGATTAAACATGAGTTTGCCATCATCAGATAATTCAAACTTACCATTAATGAGATATGCTTTCTGATCGACATTAAACTGTTATTAATTCAAACCAAACAGTTTTAGACCCACTTTCAAAAACATTATAAAGTTGATTTTGTAACGCTCTTGAAAGGTTGAGGGAGGCTCTCAATCTTTCTTGAAACATCAAGTATTGCAGCAGATTCTTTTATTTCAGCCATATTGTGTAAAATATTTAATAACTTATGGTATAAGTTTTAAGTTATTAAAGATTTTACACTTTAATAACTTTAATATATATATGCGTTAGACAAAACCTTGTTACAATAGTTTCTAGCTATAGTAAACAGACGTTTGTTTTCTGGAGAATTGTTTTGCTTTTAGATATGGAAGTAACGGTTTCGTTTTGATATTGCAGCAGCACAGTGTGAGGAAAACCATGGAGAAGTGTGACGCTTGACTTGGAATCGTCGAGAGGGAATAGAAGATTCCATGCCAGCCTGAATCCAAGAAGTTACCTTATTAGCACATTTGTCAGCAGAAAGATTTCTACCCAAAAGCCACGCCGAAGAAAATCACGGAAAGAGCCCCAGCCAGCTTTAAGGTAATTGTAAGAGATATGATGATAGGAGGATTCTGATGATGAAGAAGAGTGAAATAATAGTTTCAGAGAGATCAAACCGTAATCAGAACACCTAAGGGGTAATGTGAAGAAAGTGAGCTTTGACTAAGATCAGAAATAAGACAAAGTGGAAAAGGTAAATGATTCGGGTTGTCTGGAAAACGAGTAGGAAACTTGACTATTTGAGTTAGAGATTGAGAAAGGCAAAGTTGTGGACTTTAAAGAGTGCAGTGTCACTGACACTAGATCTAAGCTATTTAGTGTGATGAGTATTAAAATTACCAACAACAACGATATTGGCTGATGGATAAAGAGAGAGGGACTGGTCAATTTGATCAGACATATCGTTAAAAAAAAATGCAGTTTTGAGCTCAAGGTGAGCAATATAGAACAAAGAGAAAGACAATAGAGTGAAGTGGTGCTAAACGAAAGCTTATAAAGAATAGCCTGTGGATTGGAACCCTAGTTTCCCAACAAATGGTTGCTTTCTTACAAATGTAAATGCCCTGAACAAGCATATGACTATTGGAATCTTTACGAATTAAAGGAAGATAACCATCAACAGTAAGATTACAAGATGAGACAGCCGAACTCAAATTAGTCTCACAAAGAGCAAGGTCTAATTAACATTTTAAGAGATAAGACTCAACAGAAGAAAAGTTACTCAGAAGAACACAAAAATAAATGAATGATAAGTTTAGAGAACTTGGTGATGACGATGGTTTTTGTGTTTTATAGTTTTTGGTACTTTAGTCATTATAAATTTTTTTAAGAACTTTACTCAAAGCTTTACTGAGTACACTATTTAATAGTCTAAGCGATTGCCGCATTAATAATCATAAACCCTAAGCAGTAACAAATGGCTCCAAATGTAGCCTCACTAACTGAGCCAGTTGTTATTCTTATTAGGAATTTGAAAAAAAAAGACTTTGAAAGCCTATGTACTTTTAAAAAAGAAACTATTAACATGCTTGAGTTCAGCCGTATGAAACATGTTTTAAAAATCGGCAAATTGTATAAAATACATATAATATATTCTACCAGTATACAATTTTGAATTGTTTTTTAATCAAGGGCATGCTGAAAGAGTCCTAGCTGCTCAGTGTAGTCAAGGCAATTTTAAAATATCATAGGGTCTTAATGATATTTCGTTGACAACGACATATTTCCTTTAAATCATTAGGCCTGTAAAATATGAAAAGACAAAAAAAAGCTAAAATAATGAATTTTGCCGTATCATAAAATATAAATGTTTGTAGCGAAAAAACCAAGACCAAAGATTCTTTTTTTTTTTCAAATCTTCTTAAAATCACGATTGCTCGTTTAAATTTGAATTTTTTTTTAAATAAATACGCTTTTTAGGTGAAATGAACATCATAGTTTAATAATATGATCTGTTCTGATTAATTATAGGCAAATTTTCTTAATTATATGCTCTTTCTTGGTCGGATTCTTGTATTTTTTGTGAAAATTGATAGAAATATTGTATTTTGACAACTATATACAGTTAATATACGTCAGGACCGATTAGAACTAGGATCAATAGTAAATTAAAGAGCTTTTTCAAAAAATTTTAACTTATTTCAAGTTAACCCCGATGAGCGGAATTGATTTAAAGACTCCAAAATAGTGTTCTTTAGATTCGCTATTACGGGTAGTATAAAAGTTTTGAAAATTATTTAAAAAATGAAAAGTTTCTTTAAATATTAAAAAAATCTGAAGCAAAAAAAAAATTATAACATCTAAAGCTTTTGTTTGGACATAATACGCTGATAAAATCATAATAATTTTAAATAAAAGAATTCAAATATTTTGTAAATCACCTTAACTACACTGAGTGCTTGTCATTTAGAAACTGTTTAAGTAGTTTTCATAAATCTTATGTAATTTCCAGATTTTCCAAATACACTTTTTGAAACACTCTATGAAAATACTTAAAATCTTCCGCAATCATGCATAGAATTTCGTCTCACTTTAAGCAGAGACGTTTTGAAAGCAACACGGTAGCAAAATGGTTAATGGTCAAACCTTTTAAATTTAAAAAGCCCTACCGAGTATATTATAAAAGCGTTTTCAATCAAGTCGCGGAGTTATCAACACTCTGATTCAAAATGGTATTTAAAAGCCTGCAAAATGTTTTTTGCAAAACATCTTCAATTATATTTTAAAGCTTTTAATGATATATTAGTAAATCTAAGTTATGTTTTCCAAGCTAAAACAAAAAATTGCAGATGGCGTTGAAGGAGTAAGCCCTGGAAAGCAAACCCCTCTCAGGGGTCCGACAGGAGAGGTAAAACATTAACATTTTATCATATTTTACGCAACAAATTGTTGAAATCGGTTTCTTCTAAGAAATTATTAACATTTTGAATAAAGAAACCAAAAATAAATAAAAGTAGTTTAGCAACAACAGCAACAACAACAACAACAACAAAAAAGGTTTTAATTATAAAGACAGGTTTTGCTGTCTTAAAAGTTTTTAAATTGATCATTTAAATTGATGGAATTTTTTTCTTTTAAAAGTGTATACAATGTAACATGTTTACACGATTACCTAAAAGCTGTTTTTAACTTTTTATGATACACTTAAGTATATCCTATACAATGATGTAGCTCCTGCAGATAGTTATTTCAGTATGATGTCAGTAATGATGTTTCACACACGGCTGAATATATATATTAGAAAATATATATATATATATATATATATATATATATATATATATATATATATATATATATATATATATATATATATATATTTTGAATAAAAATGGCGTAGCACACTAGCTTGTTGTTATTTTGGTGTTATAAATTTTAGGACATTAACTTTTTTGAACTACTGCTAGAACTTTAACTTTGGAACTCTCTTCCATCTTCTTGTTTTCCAGAACCCTAAATTTACTATTATTTTTTTCCTAGTAACTTCTAACTTTATAGTGGTTACTTTCAGCCTTTTTAGGAGAGAATCAGAATAATAATAAAAAAAGAGTATGTATTTACTTATAAATACAGATAAAAGATAAAAGCCCTAAATCATTAATATTGATTATTTTACTTAACAAATCTATGCAATATTCCACTAATTAAATCAAAACTCCTCTAATGAAAATGTATTCAATTCCTAAAAACGAATATTTAAAAGTGCCCTTAAAAAAAAGTGTTTTTGAATTAAAATTTGACCTTGAAAAAAATAATACAAAAAAACAAAACAGAACTAGAAATGTAATTTGGTTCAACCCTCCATATAGCAAAAATGTTTCCATTAATGTAGGAAAAGTGTTTTTTATTGGTCGATAAGCATTTCCTTGTCTAATAAATTTCATAAATTTTTTTAACGAAATATAATTAAAGTTAGCTGCAATTGCACAAAAAATATGGAAGAATTATAAAAGGTCACAATAATGGTTTGTTAACATAAACAAAATCCTAAATAAAGAAAAATAACAAAAAGTTGTAATTGTAAGCAAAAAAAACAATTGTCCAATGATGGAAATTGTTTATCAAAAAGTGTGGTGTATAAATGTGTTGTTTCCTCAAAGAATATACCTGATAATCAATATATTAGCTTAACAGAGTGTGAATGGAAAAAATGTTTTGCCAATCATAAGCAATCCTTTAAAAATAAAAAGTATTCAAAAGACAATATGCTGTCAAAATACATATGAGAATCAAAAGATAAAAATATTGATGATTTTATACTGGATTGGTCCATCCTTAAAACAGCACTTGCATATAACAATATTTCCAAAAAATGCATACTATGCCTACAAGAAAACTTTATAAAACAAATAATTCTGCTCCATCACGGACACTGTTTATACATTATATTTATTCTCGACAATAACAACTTTTTAGTAGCACAGCAATTAAAGACTTTCAACTTTTCCAACTTTTCTCGACTATTGTTATTGCTCTTGTTTATTTTTACTACATTTTACTTTTTATAGTTTTTAGTATTTTTCTACTTACTAATGTATTAGCACTTACAAAGCGCTAATACATTAGGGATAAAAAACATCCAGGAATAGAAAAGTAATATGAAACAATTAAGGCTATGTGAAAAATATATAGACGACATTGCCTAATTGAAACTTAAAAACTATACACATATCAAGCTTGGTCGGGGAGCGGGTGTGATCGTACTCGATAACTGACATTATTTTATGCTAAATTTTAAAATATTTTATTTGACGGACATACATGGAAACATACATAAACTCGAATGTTCTTAAACATCTTTGTGGGAAAAAATAAAAAAAGAAATATTCGCGAACACAAAAAACCCGCCAAATTTATGAACAACTAATTCTATTGGTTCAAAAAGTACTAACAGAAATTTCTAGAGTATTCAAAAAATACTAACCGAATGTTCTAGAGTATTCTGTGAAATATTTAAAAAAATTGTATTATTTGAATTTTGTTATGTTTTTGTTGAGACTTCTAGCATAAATTGTTTTAAGAATATACTATCAAACAAACTATTATTTTAATTCTCGGTGCCATATCTACAAAGCCATAAATGTTTTAAACTAAAATTATTTGTTTACAAAAATAAATGTTTTAAGTTTATATTTTTTACTTGTCAACATTTTGTAATTTATTTTTTATATGTAAGGGATATATTTTTTTATGTATGTAATGTATTTTTATGTATGTAATGTATTTTTATGTATGTAACGTATTTATATATATATATATATATATATATATATATATATATATATATATATATATATATATATATATATATATATATATATATATATATATATATATATATATATATATATATATATATATATATATATATATATATATATATATGTATACATATATATATATATACATATATATATGTATATATATATATATATATATATATATATGCATATATATATATATGTAAATATATATATATATATATATATATATATATATATAAATATATATATATATATATATATATATACAGGCTTGGACAGGAATGGCGTGCGATCGCACTCTGTAACTGACCACGCTAATATTTTTATTTTTTTACAACTTGACCACGGCTATTTTGATGTTTTAACAATTTGAATGCAATAAAAAAAGTGTTACGTTATAAATATCTTTTAATCGTTGATCTTTTCTAAAGTTTTTTATTTTACGCAAAGACTTTAAATAATACCATAAAATTAGTTATAGTTATAGTTTACATAAACGCCTGTGTAAATTAATAAAAAATGTTATAAATAAGTTTTTTTTATGTAGGCATTTATTTTTTATGATAAATATAAACGTTTGAAACTATTTTCTTATGTCTTCCTAAAACATTTTAAAACATTATTTTTAGAAAGAATTTTTTTAAGTTACTTTAATTTGTGAATAAGTTTTTTTTTTTTGCAACTTGTTTGACAAATTAAATGTTTATACAATTAAATATTAAAAATATTATATAAAACACTTTTTAATAAATTTAATAAAATTTGTTGTTTCAAATAATCGTATTTTCAATTATCCGGGTAATCGAGTATTTATTTTTTTCATTACCCGGGTACCCGGGTATCCGGGTAAAGGAAAAAAAATTTACCCAAACCATGTTGTGTTAATTAAGTTTAAAATAAAATGCAACAATTTTATTTTTAAATCTATTTTTTATTTAAAAAATAATACTTTAAAAATAAAAGTTTGTCAACCGTTTCCATTTCGGGTTTTTGTGACAAAAGCTGAAGCTACCAAAAACACTCTTTCACTTACTGTTGACGTTGGTTGTATTGTCAATAATTTCACTTACTGTTGACGTTGGTTGTATTGTCAATAATGCTGTAAAAAGTTTTCCAATAGAGTCACCTCGTTTTGAACAGTCTTTCTTCCACAACTTCATTTCTTTTTCCAATTTGGATTTTCTCTCATTATTTTCTTTCGAAACAGTCATAATTAATTCAATTGTTTTTTGAGTTCATCATAATTTGAAACCAAACCATTATTTGAAATTATTTCTTCATTTTCAATTGTTAACTCTGTATCCATCTGTGTATTTGCAGGATCTTCATTGAACAGCCTTTTGAAGGTTTCTTTAGCCAATAAATGAATGGAACTTTTTTTTAAATAAGTAAAATGGCAGTTAATATCTGGTTTAGGATAATTTCCAGATTGTAAAAAACGCAAGAGTGATACAACATCCTCATTTCGTCTTTCTTCAATTCTTTTCTTCAAAGCAGTGAACATTTCCATGGCTAACTGCGTATTTGTTTCTTTTAGTTTGTTTAGCAAAAAAATGCATACTCCTTCAGCTTTTTGCCTTCTTGATCTATTATATTTAATAATATTACGATATTGATCTATTATATTTAATAATATTACGATATTACTTGTTTTGCAACCGAGTAGCAATCGTAACTTTTTGCCTTCTTGATCTATTATATGCTTTTCAAGAACACTGCTTCGAACTGAAGAATATTTGAAAAATTTAATAATTTTTTGTGTTTCATCAAGAATTTTGCCAATGTCTTCACGAAAAATTGGTAATTGTCTAACTAAATCATTTTGGAAATTTAAGTTACCATCAAAAGCAAATGCATCAGCTACCTCATCATTTTGTTCGGTAGTTTCAACACAATCATCATCTGCTAAATTTTCATCATATTCTAAATTCTCATCATCTTGGAAATTTGTATCAATTACCGCATCATCATTCGTAATTAAACTCCCACTTTTTTTATAAAATACATCAAGTACAGCAAGATGTATAGCATGATTGTAGCATAACTGAGAAAATGGTAAAATATTTTTCCCGTAATTTACCATGACTGATGCTCCATCATGTGTGGATCCGACGATATCATTATCCATTTCAATTCCATAATCTTTAAGTTTTGCTTTTACCAAATCGATAGTGGCATTTGAATCACAAGAACCTATTATTGCAGATAGACCCAAGGCTACAGGTGGCTTTGTTGCTGAATGAAGAGTGATATTCATGAGCCTTCTAACGTTTGTATCACTCCATTCATCGACAGTAATACTGAATCTCCAGTTTTTTATTGCTCTAATAACGACGCCATTAATTCTTCTTTTTTTTCTTTATAAAAATCCATTATATATTTCATTACCGTTGTTTCATTTTTTGGCATTTTATAATTACGACTTGCTATGAAACACCTAATGGCTTCAGATGAAGTAATTCCTTTGATGCTAAATCCATCTTTTGTCGCACATTTCGCCAATATTTCATTCAATGATTCTCGACTTATGAAATTTATTATTCCATTTCCAACTGATTTTGTGTTTTTCGAAGAAGACGCATCA